TCAGCCATACCTCTGAAAAGCAGAATGGACTACTAGGCACACTTTAAGAATTAGGCTTGGCTTCTCCTTACTATCTTTAAAAGAGCACCGCACTTTACCAAGAAGGTTGGAGAAGTTGTGGAGTAATCATGGCTTCAGCCACTCTGATCTTGGGATTTGCTCCAATGGCACAACCTATTTGTGGCGGCATACGTAACTACTAAATGAGCCCATAGTAGCGTCCTTGCTCCTAGCAGTAAGGCCAGGAGCCCCTAGTAGCATCCTTGCTCCTAGTTTCCATTTCTGTCCAAAGTTGTCGTTCTGGCTTCGTAACAAGGACGTGTTTGAACAATAACAACTCAACTCACTCCGCTGCTTCCTTCCTTTTAACACTCCATGTCCCCACGGGCCCGGAGGCCTATAGTTTCATGAAAATGCTGATTCTTGAGCCAAGCGGCCAAGCGAACAAAATGATCTGAATGATCGAAACGGAGCTTCCAATTTCAAGAAGACTCTGACGAAGGTCTAGGTGAGCTATGGTCAAAACTCAGTATATTTGGGTCATCCCATCCCTTATAATGGTCATTATAAATCCCCATTATCCAATGGATGACCATCCCCTAGTAATGGTTGATAATACCTAGTTTTGACCATGGCTCATGTGGATCATTGGTCAGGAAAGAAAAACGTGACGAAAGGTCTTCCTGTCGTGCTACGCATTGTGTGAGGCATTGGAAGCCTTCAACAAAAAGCCTTTGGCCTTGGGACTTCTCTGGATTTGAGGATTTGATAAGAACGCCTTTTGAAACAAGAACTCATCATTCTCTTCAGCTCATTTCGTCTGCTTCAATTCTAGAGCCAAATTATTCCAAAACAAGACATTTTGATTTGGTTTCTCATGTTTTTTTTCTCTCTCTCTTTTTTTTGTGCCAGGAGATCACTGTTCCGCACGTGTCAGTCGGTCAGCTCCAACGCTACGCTACGCTTGTGGCTGTGGGCTGGCGCCCACGGGACTTTTAAGCCAAGTGGGCCAACCGCCGTTCTCCTTGGACAGGACGCTACTAGGAGCAAGGGCATCGCTAATAGTAAGAAAGGGCATGGCTACTAGGAGCGATCGGACGCTACTAGGTTGGAGGCCAGAAGGCCATCGCTACTAGGTTGGAGGCCATCGCGAACCCCCATCTCACAAGGGGGGAATCTTGTAGCTTTGTTTCTGGAGGCTGAAGGCTTCCTTTCTTTGGGACATTGCTTGAGAAGAAGCACATCCAAACAAGTTGATTCAATCTTTCTGGTGGCTGTATTCCACCTAATTGACTGCTCCAAGCTTCCCAAAGGTCCCAGTAACAGGACCAATGATAGCCGCTAGCCAAACCACCTAGATTCTGAGGTCTATCACCGGAAGACAAGGGAATCAAGTCACTCGCTCCTTCATCTGCTTCTCACGCATGTGCATCTCCCTCGGTGTCTCTGATGCTGACCTCCGCAAGGTTCTAAGTAAATTTTATGTCATTCTTGTTTCTAATAGCTTCTTGTTCCTAGTAGCCATGCCAGGAACCCCTAATAGCGTCCTTGCTCCTAGTAGCGATGCCCTTTGCCTAGTAGCGCCCTCTACCCCTGTGGAATCGCACAGGATTTGGCGGTAGAGCGCACATGATTTGGAGACGTAGAGATATTTTCCTACTCGTAGGAAACGATTGATACGCCTTAGGCGTTCCAAAAAACCTTCCAAATATCCAACTGCTTTCTTCTCAGCCTGAAGAAATACTCGTTAGTACTGCTCTCAAACCTGCGCGAAGTTGTTTGCTTTCTTTTGTCGAACACTTCTAGAAGTGCTTCGGAGGGCTTTTAGGTCCTTGCATTGACCCCTTACAGGCCTCCTAGACCTCTTGCACCCTTCCACTCGCCTCATTAGGAGGGCTGCGACACCTTCGATAATGGCCAGGAGCACACCACCTTGTGCCAAGGACACACAGTGTGACACACACACACAAAACCAACAAAGACTGCAAAAGTCCTAGGCCTTGGAAACGACGGGAGACGTCCCGGAGACATCGATTTCAAAAAGTGATGATGCGCTCACTTCTTTCAATTTGTGTACCGACATAGTTTCTTTGCCTAAAATCAAAGAAACCACAGGGTTTCTACCCAGGGTTTCCTGGGCATTGCTCGTCCTTCCTCTCATCCTTCCCTCGGCTTCCACACCGATGACCGCGTTGCGGCTGGCAGCTTTCCAACCGCCTCGGGCGGCGAGTACCTGTGCCGTGGAAGCTTTGAACGAAAGATGGAGGAACATAACCCAAAACCACATGTTCTTTTTTGCAGGTGTCAAGTAGTATGCCAGCGGAAGGAAAACTGCCTCCAACGCAGTGCAAAAAGTGTGGCCAAACATGAAGGAAACAAGAGCGATTTCATGACTCTGGTTGAACCGGGCTGAGCAAATGCAGACTGAAGATCAGCAACAAGTACCGATAGAACCTAAGCAGTACACCGATAAGCAAGACGTTGCTGCAGACAAAATACTCGGCAGCAGTGCAACAATCCATTTCAAACAGTTGTCCTACTCAAGTATGACTCCTGATCCAGCAGCAATCCTGGTTGTCTGGGACGTTTTGAGAAGAATCAAAGCACGAATCCCTAGTTAGGATGACAAGCAAGAAAAGAAACAAGTTCGGCACTGTTCCATTCTGTTCGACCGCCTGTTGTTTGTTTCCATGCTGCTCCTGTTGCAAAGAGGGGCACGCCACCAGTCAGGAAGCCTGATGCAATGGCATTCCAGTGATCATCTTGCCTGACGGCACAGTTCGTGATGCGCATTTTAGATTGCCACACAAATAAAGCTTGCAAATAATTGAGGCTGCTTCGTTGAAGATTGCCTGGGCCCTTCTGAGTCCAAACAAATAGCTACTTAATGTCAGTGGCTACTACCTACTAGTAGCATGCCCGTGCTACTAGTAGCGATGCCCCTAGTAGCGTCCTTGCTCCTAGTAGTAAGGACAGGAGGCCCTAGTATCGATGCCCTTTGTTCTTAGTAGCCTATCAGAGTTTCGGTGAGTCAAGCTCACCAAGTCTGCCCGTGTGTCGCGCCTCCGGATGTACTGCAAAGAGCAATCAAAACAGGAGAAAGTTCCACCCTCAGATGAGAGTTTCAATTAGAAACAACAAGCTAGTAGTAATAAGTGCATCGCTTCGAGTAACAAGTGCCTTACTAGTAGTAACAAGAAGCTAGTAGTTCCACCCTCAGGTGAGAGTTTTGTAAAAAAAAAGGTGAACAAAACTGAAAAAGCAGAGTGGACGAAGTAATCCAAAAATTCAAACAGCTTGGTACGTAGGTGCTGGACCCAAACCGCGAAGTTCCCTCCCAAAATGGGAGCCCTGAAAACAGCTCACGAAGTTGTATCGAACAAACATGGACGAATTAACCGCTTCTCAATCTGTGATCTCTAGATACATTTCCTTGTGATGACACGTCTTATCTTATTATCTAGCAGTTTCCGGTGAAATCTATACAGAACTATATGCATCTCACCATCTGTCAGGCTTTCATCTCCTGCCTGCTTCTTGCGCTGTATAACGCGCCTTGTAGCCTGTGAAATCACGCTGAGGCTGTTTGACCGTGTGGCGAACGAAACATCAGTGAGCAGCATCACCAATCTTGCACGCGCCTGTCCCCCTGCGGGGAATTCCGTGCGCCCCTGCCGAAGTGCCATAAGAAGCCTCCCATTTGAGTGGTTCTGGTGACTTTTAGACTCGCGATTCAAGTCTTTTAGACATCTTGATATTCCTGACGCAAGAAGCCACATAAATCGAGTATAGGATCAGCAAAAGAAGCATCTACTTGATCCATTGTCTGATGCAGTGTATCTTTTGAGGTAAGCAGTTTGGGACTTGCCCTAGTACATCACTACGTAGTGCACTTGCTCTACAACATGAGCATCAAAAAAGCTTTGTTTCCTTTATTTCCTTTGACGCCTCCGACAGCACCCATGCCAAAGGCACCGCCCAAGTCCTGCAAAGACATGCTGCAAAGTCCAATTTACTTCACTCCAGGCCCTTTTCTGGCAAACAAGTGCAAGTCTCTTCTGTGTTTTGACTTCATTGGGAACTCATCCAAGACTGGACCGATGCTCGAATCTCGTTAACAAAGCCTCAACTGCAAGGCTCATTGTGTATTTGCTGGCATAGAAGCACGTCGCCAATAACATATACCAAACCGTTGTTTGAATGGTAAAGCATGTGTGGGGACTGCATAATATTCCTTCCCATCCCAGTGCCTTAGTTCACAGACTCCTTTCTCACTACTACAAACACCGATGCGCTGTGAATGCATCTACTACTACTACTACTTCTACTACTTCTACTACTACTACTACTACTCCTACTGCTGCTCCTGCTGCTCCTGCTGCTGCTGCTGCTGCTCTCCTACTCCTACTCCTACTCCTACTCCTTTCGAAGAACCGCTGAGTCCTCGATAATGCGATCAGGACATGGCTCTCTGGTTGTATCTCTATCACCTGCACATGACGAAGCTCTGCTGAAACTCCGAAGGAACATGGAGAACGCCGCAGTGGTCAATACTGAATGCATTTGAGTGGCCAATGCAACAAACATGCGTCTTAAATCGTAATTCGTGCACGGATGTGAAGCGCGGCCCTACCCACCTGTTTCGAAGCGTCCCATGGCGCCGCAATTTCAGCGCACAAAACTTGGAGCCAACGCTGAAATTCAAAGGGCTTTCGAGAACGTGTTCTCTAAAGCTACATTCATTTGCGTTGAACCATCAGTGCGAGCCACTTCAGAACCTACAAGCGGCCTCATGTCGGATGCGACCGGCCCCGTGGGGATCTGTGTCCGTCGATTTATTTCATGCAACAAACCGTCAAAGAACCCACCGGGATGTCGTCAAAATCCAAGCCAATACCAATCTTCCAAAGAATATGGAGTCTCAGACCCCAGCTCCGGTTTGCAGGTTTCGAGTTTCGAGAACGACTTTCTGCACGCGTTTTTTTACACGTTTTTCGTTCCTCACACGTCATCCGCTTCTCGGTCACCAGAGTCGGCCTGTGGCGAAGGCGGCTGAAGCGAACGGCTGTCCAAGAAATGTGCTCAGCTTCACGTGCCTTTCACAACTGACACACAGCTTGTTACTAGTAAGGCACTTGTTACTAGAAGCGATGCACTTGTTACTAGTAGC